GCAAGGCCTGTCAATGGATGGAGGAAAACCTCGTGGAAGCTGCCCGGGCACTCACCTCTTCTTAAGAGAGGACGATGGAGGGCTTCAGGTTGTTGTACCGGGAGGAGCATGGAAAGGAAATGATTACTCAGGTCGGCTCCTACGGCTTCATGTCAAGCCAGAAGAGAGACCGGGAGGCCACCCATGCCATCTTGGCTGAACGAGATCCCGAGTTCAACGCGGAGTCATTCGTAGGGTCCTGGCCCCCATCCCGGATGAAAAGCCCGTACCTCCCTTCCCCTTGGAATGAAATCTCCCCGGCTGCGTCCGGTTATTTTTGTAAAACTCCAAACTTGAAATTTCCCTGGGTATGCCCGGTTTACTTGTAAACATTTGACATCTTCTCTTTTAAATGCCATGTTTTATTTTCTCACCTGTTAATCTGCCATATCTGCTTGTTCCTTGACAGATATTTTACTTTTGCTTCCATAGGATTTTCGACCGGTATATGACTCTGTTTGTCAACCGATAGAACTTCAACTTTCTCTTTGATCAATCCATCTCTAAGATCAATTCGAAAAATCTTGACCGGTAGAACTGCATCTTGGTGGCCAACAGCCGAAAACATTTTGACCGGCTGGGAAAAATTTTGATCGGCTTCACTCCATTTTGTTTTTTGAATGCCTTCGTTCGATAAAGTACAGTTTGACCGGTACGTTCCCACTCCATGGTTTGCCCGGTCAACTGCTTTGCCTTGAAGAACTTCCGAAGCTCTGTTGCATCAATACCCAACCGGGGTATTCCTCTTTTTTTTGCTGACCGGTAGGTTGTAGATGGAAGCACCTGTAACCTAGTAATTTCTTGAAGTATCCTTAACCGGTAAGAATACTGGAGATTTAACCATGTCGAATGGTTTCGAACCCTCTCCAAGGTTCAAATGCACCCCTCTTCCAGGGCCCCCTCTTTCGGGTGATTAAGTCTTTTAATGGCCCTTTGATTTGTACTATCCCAGGGAGGCCTTAGCTCACCCCCGTTCAAGTCTTCCCTGAGAAGGGGGATATAGGATGTGCCACGGTGGACGATCCCTTTCTATTTCTTTTAATGGGCATCTTTTAGTCCTTAATCAATTTGACGGCGCCGGCTGATTCCCCGACACCGGTCAAACCTCATGGGCCCGTGTAAGTACGGTTCGAACCCTCTTCCAGGTCCAGCCCTCTTGCAGGCATACCCTCTTCCGGGCCCCTCTTCCGGGTTTTATTATTTTTTCTATTATACTGAGCAAGACCGGTGTAGTAACCAGCGTACCAGGTCCGTGCCTGTGTCTCAGTTGGCTTATCCAAGTGGATTTGATCCACCCTGGAAGCCCTCCTAAGATAGGTTCGACCTATCAACTCTGCTGCTAGCAAGTAGTGAGCACTGAACTTTCTTTATTTCATTGAAGTAGGCCTTGCCTATGATTACAATCATTTGTAAAACTTGCGAAGGTGATGGGAATTCCAAGTTCTCTCTACCGGTATACCATCCAAAGTTTCTAACCGGTAGGTCCCTAGGCGAATGATCGCTTTCACCCGGTAAGGTCCTTCCCAGTTTTTAGCAAGCTTTTCTCCGTCTCCCGGTCTAGGGGTGAGCAAGTACCGAACCGATACCGAAGTTTCCCGAAAAAACCGAGAATACCGAACCGAAAAATACCGAACCGAAAAAGTACCGAGAAGAAACCGTACCGAACCGAATGGTCGGTACGGTATTTGGGAACGGTACGAGGTGACGTACCATACCGAAAATCCCGAACCGAACATATATACTAAAATATTATTAAAAAATAATACCCCGGAGTAATATTTTTCATATTCCTTCACTAAATAATACGGAGTAATTTTTAAAAAAAAAATTGGTTCAAGTTTTATCATGTGTAATTATACTTTTATTTGAGTTTTAGCTTTTGTGTATAAACATAAAAGTATTCACAAAGATTCGAAAAATCCTTTGTTGTCGTTCATTTTTTTAGTTTGTGAAATATAAACTATGTTTTGATATGCATCCATTGCATTTAAATATTCATTTTTTTTAATTTTTCATGTTTTTTTATTTAAATTCACTTTTAATTTTCAAAAATAAAGGGGCATTGTTAAACTTTAAGGTGTAAAGTAGGTATGTATATTCATCCCGATTTGTACCGAAACCGATACCGAACCATGCCGAACTATACCGAACCGATATGTCGGGATCGGGATCGGTACGGTATAAAATCCCATACCGAACCGAAATATTTGGTACGGTATCGGTACGGGCTAAATACCATACCATACCGTACCATGCTCACCCCTATCCCGGTCTACTAGCCTCTCTTCTTCGCAAGACTTCATCGCCAACTTGGAAGTAACGCGGTCCAACCTTGTTATCGTGGTACTTCTTCACCACTTGTTGGTACGTACTCATTTTAACTTCCACGGCCATTCTCCACTCTTCGACCAAGTTGAGTTCGGCCAAGTGATCTTCCTCGTTCTACTAGGGTTGATAATTTGATTCCCAGAATGTTGGGAATTCAGCTTCGATGGGCAGCCTTGCTTCACACCCATAGGTTAGGGAGAATGGAGTTTCCCCGTGAGCCCTCCTGGGTGTTACTTGGAACGCCCAGATATGATATGCAGGAGCTCTTCCAGCCACTTGTTTACTGCTTCTCCCAGCCGTTTCTTCAGACCATCCACAATAGTCTTGTTGGCATTTTCCACCTAGCCATTTCCTTGGGGGTACGCCACCGAAGAGCGATTGTGCTTGATCCCGAAGCCCTCTAAGTACTCGGTGAATCTTGGATTTCGGAATTAAGGGCCATTGTTGGTGATTAGGTTAATGAGAGCTCCAAACCTCATGAGGATGTTCTTCCAAATGAACTTTTTGCATTGTTGCGTGGTAATGTTGGCCAACGCTTCGGCTTCGATCCATTTGGTGAAGTAATCGATGGCTACGATTACAAATTTCTTCCTTCCTTGGGCAATTGGGAATGCTCCAATGATATCCACCCCGAATCTAGCGAACGGGATGACATCCGATACGGGGTGATAGAAGGTCGCCGGTCTGCCGGGATACTTGTAAAACACTTGGCATGTTCTACATTTGTGAACATACCTCTCACAGTCCTGGACAATCGTCGGCCAGTAATACCCCAGCAAGATGATTCGCTGTGAGAGGGTTCGCGACATTTGGTGTGCCGCCGGGATACTTGGTGATAGTAGGTCGCCGGTCTGCCGGGATACTTGTAAAACACTTGGCATGTTCTACATTTTTGAACATACCTCTCACAGTCCTGGACAATCGTCGGCCAGTAATACCCCAGCAAGATGATTCGTTGTGAGAGGGTTCGCGACATTTGGTGTGCCGCGCATACACCTTCATGGACTTCCGTTATGACTCACTCAGCCTCCCAGTTGGTTAGGCACCTCAGGAGGGGTCCCCCGAACGCCCTCTTGTACAGCTTTCCATCAAGGACTTGGAACCGGGATGCCCTGAGCTTCACTTTTCTTGCCCGGTATTCTTGCTCCGGCAAGATCCCGTCCATCAAGTATTCCATCAGATCGTTCATCCAGTGGTCGTCCGCCCTGACCAAGTTTGACCGGTCAGATTGGGCTGTTGCTGTTATGGCGGCAACTTCCAATTTCTCGATGCTGGCACGGTCCAGGATTTCTACCCATGCAAGTTTTGAAACATGCTCAGGAGCATACTGCGTTAACTTGGAGAGAAGGTCTGCATCCGCGTTCTCTGCCCGGGGAATTTGGGCGATTTTGAATTCTTTGAACCCCTTCAACAAGGCAAGCACTACATCCTTGTATTGAGCCATTCGTCCTTCCCTAGCCTCCATATTGCTGGTCACTTGCCCCACAATCAAACTCGAGTCAGATTTGATACTAACCCGGCTGATTTTAAAGGCTTGGGCAAGTCTGAGCCCTCCAGCTAGAGCCTCATACTCTGATTCATTGTTCGTCAGCTTGAAGTTGAAGACTATTGCATGGTAGATCTTGAACCCTTCTGGGATGGTAAACACGATACCACCCCCGTATCCTCTAGGACCGGACGCCCCATCAACTGCCATCTCCCACCATTGCTCAGTGGGCTTGTTGACCGTTAGGTCAGGAGTTATAACGGTCATTTCTACCAGGAAATCTGTAAGGGCCTGTCCCTTGATTGCTGATCTTGGCCGGTACTCAATGTTGAATTGAGTTAACATCATTGCCCATTTCACCATCCTCCCGGAGGACATTGAGTTCCGCAATACTGCGCCTAGTGGTTGGTCAGTCGAGACTTCCACCGGGTGAGCTTGGAAGTAGGATGTTAACTTCTTTGAGGAGATAAAAAGCGCGTAGCCTGTTTTCTCCTTCACTGTATATCTACTTTCAACCTCGTTAAGTGCTTTGCTCACATAATAAATTGGCTTTTGTGCCCCATCATTTCTTATTAAAATAGAGCTTACAGCATTTGGGGAAATTCCCACGTATAGATACAGAGTTTAACCCGGCTCGGGTTTGGACAATACAATATCCGACACTAGGCATTCTTTCAGCTCCTCGAATGCCCTCTGGCATTCTTCATCCCATGTGAATGTGTTGGCCTTCTTCAGGACGCTGAAGAAGGGCAGAGATCTCTCAGCCGACCGGGAAAGGAACCGGCTGAGGGCCGCTAGGCGACCGGTCAACTTTTGGACGTCCCTAACGGAGGTAGGGGCTTGCATCTCGGTGATAACCCGAATCTTCTCTGGGTTGGGCTCTATTCCTCTCTTGGTCACCATGAATCCCAAGAACTTCCCGGTACGAACCGCGAAGACGCATTTCTTAGGATTCAACCGGAGGTTGTATCTTGCCATGATTTTAAATGTGGCACGCATATCAGCCGGGTTGTTGAAAGATACCTGGCTTTTGATCAGCATGTCGTCGATGTATGCCTCCATGGTCTTTCCCAGCAGCGGCTTGAAGAGTGTGTTCACCATGCGCTGGTAGGTTGCCCCCGAATTCTTCAAGCCAAACGCCATTACCCGGTAGCAGTAGGTTCCTTCGGGGGTGAGGAATGATGTTTTTTCTTCATCTTCCTTGGCCATGTGAATTTGGTGGTAGCCTTTGAAAGCATCCATGAAACTTAGGAGTTAGCACCCTGCAGTTTCGTCCACCATTTGATCTGGACTGGGAAGGGGGTATGAATCCATCGGACACGCCTTGTTCAAGTCCGTGTAATCCACACACATTCTCCATGTTTCCCCCTTGGGAGCAAGAACCACGTTGGCCAGCCAATCCGGGTATTTGACTTCCCGAATGTGACCAACACTAAGGAGGTCCTTCACCTCCTTCTTGACGAAGTCTCGCCGATCACTGGCCAGGTACCTCCTCTTCTGGCGTACCGGTCGACTTCCATCTCTCACTGCCAGCCGGTGGCAGATGATTGAGCGGTCAATTCCGGGCATATCTGCCACGCTCCATGCAAATATGCCCGCATACTCTTGGAGGACCCATGTAATCTCTTCCTTGAGATCTTCTGGGAGGTTCGCTCCAATTCTGACCATCCTTGATGAATCACCTGGGTGAAGTTCGATCTCCACCGTTTCTGCTTCAGGCTCCAATTTCTCCCGGGTCTCTCCCTTGGTGATTTCCTGGGAGATGACGTTGACCCCCTTGGTCATCTTCTTGACTGCCCAGGCATAGCACTCCCGGGCGTTCCTCTGGTCGCCATTCACTCCACCTACACCGCCTGGAGTATGGAACTTCATGCACAGGTGCGGCATGGAAATCACCGCCTCGACCTTGTTGATGCCAGGACTTCCAAGGATTGCATTGTGGATGCATTTGATGTCCACAACGATGAACCGCATCTTCTTCCATACGGTCTTCTCGCCTGATCTTAGTTCGACCGGTAGAACTATGGACCCTTCAGCTTCCACCGTGTCTCCCGTGAATCCTGAGAGAGGGGTTTTGAGGGGTTCAAGTTGTGTCCGACACAACCTGAGTTTCTGGAAGGTCTCCAAGTAAAGGATGTTGACACTGCTGCCGGTGTCAACAAGTACCCGGGCGACGTCCACCCCATTGAAGTCCACGGTGATGACCAATGGATCATTGTGATCTTCACCGGTAGGAGGGAGATCCCAGTCAGTGAAAACTATTGGCTCCCTCCTGGTATGCTTACGCCTGGCCGGTTCAGCATTTACTTCACCGACGTAAATGCTGCAAACCCAATTTTTCCGCTGCGCGGCTGAATCTCCGCCTTCAGGTCTGCTAAAGATCATCCCAATATGTTCCTTATCAGGGTCTGGCTGCTGCTCCTTCTGCCGGTTATTCCTCCGCCGGTTATTCCTCCGCCGGTCATTGTCCCGTTCATTTCCCTGGGTTGCTGGCCTTACCCATTGGTGGTTCTTCTCCTGGGCTTTCTGCAAATAATCTTTGCCCAGTTCTCCACTGTCTATCATCTGCCGGATTACTCCCTTAACACTTTTACACTCAGAAGTGTTATGGGAATCTGACCTGTGGTACGAACAATAGGTGCCCGACCACTGCCGTCCTGTTTGACCGGTAGGATTTTCCGGAGGAATGACCGGTGCTTTTCTTACCTCTTGGCACTCTTCTGTGCTAACCACGCGGACGACCGGGTCATAGTGGTGCCTTTGCCGGCTGGATCCCGGCGCTTCTTCCTTTTTGACTTGCACCGGCTTGGGCTTGTAGCCATGCTCAGCTTCCTTCTTCGCCTGAAGTTGAGTTTCAGCCTCAGCAAACTCCCAGGCAGTGTGGTAGGCCTCTTGATACGTGGCCGGGGGTTTCCGACAGAACTCCTTGTATAGTTTCCCAGCACGCAAGCCATTCAGGAGAAGGGACAACACTGTCTTGTCGTCCATCTCCTCAACCTTGTCTACCTCCTCCTTCCACCGGGTAAGGAATTGAGTGAGGTTCTCAGATTCCCTTCGCCCGGCTGTACTAAGATAGGTGAATTTCTTCCTCTTAGTACAGTTCTCATGGAACTTGGCCTTGAATTTCGAGGCCAAGTCACTGAATGAGTCGATGCTTCCTGGGCAAAGCTTGTTGAACCATTCAGTAGCTCGATTTCGCAAAGTCTGGAAGAAAAGGAGGCACTTTTCTTCGTCTGTACAACCATTCATGGTTGCACTTTGATTGAAAGAATCCAGATGTATTTCTGGATCTTCCTTACCGGTGAATCTTGGGGCGTCTATCTTGACCTTTCGCGGGAAAGGTGTCAGATGGACCCTTGTAGTGAACGGGGACCCCGCGAGGGGTTTTTCCCGGTCATTCTTCTCTCCAACCTTCTTCTCCAGCCTCTCCAGTTTTGCTTCCATCTGCTGGACGCGGTCATTCGGGACAGTCAACCGGTTAGCCACCGGTACCCTAGGTTGACACTTTGCCCCAACCTCAGCTTGGCCGACTTTCGGTACGAGGATTTTTACGTGGAAACCCAAATCGGGAGGAAACCACGGGCCTTTTTTGGCGGTACCTTGCCAACGGGGGATTTTTATTAATATCGGGGGTGTGTACATAGTACATGATTTAGGCGTAGAAGCCATTAATGGAGCATTTGATCTCTCTTGAAGAAAAAAAATATACACACTAAATCCTTCTAGAGAGAGAGAGAGTAAATGGGCAGGAGGATGAGAGAGGAAAAATGGCCTCCTTCTCTTGGTGGGATACTTCTCTTTT